CAGCCTTCTCTTCTTCAGGCTGAACAAGTCCAGCTCCCTCAGCTTTTCCTTGTAGGAGAGATGCTCCAGTCCCCTCATCATCCTCCTAGCCCTCTGCTGGACTCTCTCCAGTAGTTCCTCATATTTCTTGAACTGAGGAGCCTGGAACTGGAAGCAGTACTCCAGATGGGGCCTCACTAGGGCAGAGTAGAGGGGGAGGAGAACCTCCCTCGACCTGCTGGCCACACTCTTCTTCATGCACCCCAGGATTACCATTGGTCTTCTTGGCAACCAGGCCACACTGCTGGCTCATGGTTAACTTCTTGTCCCCCAGTACTCCCAGGACCCTTTCCACAGAGCTGCTCTCCAGCAGGTCAGCCCCTAGCCTGTACTTGTTTATAACTGGAGTTTGCGCTCCAACTGAAGTTTTTTACTTCATAAAATGGAGTTTCCTGTCAAACTCCAATGTATTTCATGAGGGCGAAAATTAAGGCTAGTAAGAGGGCATCAGTAAAACCATGTCAAATGACTGAACTACATGCTGAAGCAAATCAAAGTCTACCTCAGTTCACAAGATGCTTCTGAATCACATATACGTGTGTGTGTGTGTGTGTCTGCGCACATGTTCATTTTGGTTTTGGTTTTTTGGTTTTTACTTTGCTCACAGTTCACTGTTTCATGTGATTTTTTGTTTACTTCATTGCATTGCTGTATCATGAATTGTGCCATAAATCAGAACTCATAAATCCTGCATGACAATTTACCCACACTGGTGCATGCGTAGGTGTTTCAAGAAAAGCTTGGTTGGCCTTAGGTAACTCTAAACATAGTATTATTCACTGGGATTGGAATCAGACAAAAGCCTACATCAAGTTGCTGGGTGTCGTGTACTTTAGAGAGCCAGGATTTTACTTTTTCCTTCATTGATAGTCAGCAGAAGAGATGAAGAGCATAGCCTAGGGCAGTGAACTTAATTACTTATTTCCCAATAAATTTCTTTTCTGTACAAATCTGAGATCCATTTATGATCAGCAGTGAGTCACAGCATCTAGACACAGGGATCACATACCAGCTGTAATGATGGCAAGGATAAGAGAAGTCCTTTGTTCAGCATTTTTCTTCAACAGGATAAATTCATATTCGCCTTATATTTTAGGACTTCAGAATTCACTCCCCAGGAGAGCAAAATTTTTCTTGTAGTTCAGCATCCTGCGCTTATTAAAATTTCATCACTAAAGCTTCCAGCAAGTAAGCCAGCATGGTCTCATTGACAAACATGTAGGGCAAGCACTGAGCAATCAGACACGGGCAGTCCTGTCCTTCATATCACGGAGAGCAAAATCTGAGTATATACAGTAGAAAAGCAGCAAGGTAAATGCTGCCAATGAGGAGAGGGGAAGAGAGAAGAGAAGAACTGGAAATCCAAAGGACATGTCTATGAAACACAGAAAGATGTTTTATACAAAAGAGCAAGTAAGTAAGCATATGCAATCATACAACTGAAACAGGAAGAGCCCAGAAAGCATACAATCTTGAAAGCACTCTAAAGTACTAAGAATAAAACTTCTTAGGTCTCTAATCTGTTGTTACCCTCAAAATTCTGCTTACCAGGCACCTTAAACATATAAAACCACCATCCTATCTCTGTATGTACTCTTTTTAACATGCCCCACTTGTGTGTATTTGAAGACAGCCCAGCAAAACTGGGACGAAGAAGGGAGAGAATACGCTGACAACATCTGAAATGCCAATGGGATAAGCAGGAGCCAGAATTCAAACTCTCACGTACGATCCAACCTCAGAAGGGGAGAACCAAAACCTCTTACCATTATTACTGTTATCATCAACTAAAATAATTTCTTTGAGCAGGTGAGCAGGAGTCCGGTCAATGGCTGAATGAATGGAGCGCAGAATCACCGAGAGAGCTTCATTAACAAATATGAATACAATGCTGACCTCAGGAAGCCTGTCAGGAAATGTAAGGTTTCTGCACCTGAAGAAAAAGGTTAAAAAAAAAAAAAAAAGAGAGAGAAAAAAAGATTATGTAAATTGCTGGAAGTCAAAACTGTTTCAGAGAAATCTATCCCCCACCATAATAATGATGAGACCTTTTGTGGGCATGAATCAGCAGGTCCCCACACTTGTTCAGAGCACATACAGGCAAGAACCAGGTAAATCACTGTCTAAAAAAATGAATCCCTGAAAAAAATTTCATGAATCTGTCTGTGAATGAGCTCACTTTTCCACCCAAGGCCCAAACCACTGAAAATCGGTTTGCAAACCAAATCCAAACTCTTGTTTACATGCAGCTTCCAAAAGCAGTTGTTCACAATGTCTTTCCGAACAGTGCAGACAGGAATAGAGTTAGCCCCTTACTTTCAAAAGCATCTTCTCAATAGCCATGTTAATTATTTTTGCTACAGAATCTACTACCTATCTCAGTCAAAATTAGAAGCTTCTTCAACTCAGTAATAACACAGTCAAAGATCCAGCCCCAAAGCACATCCTGCTACAAAAACCTAAGACAGCGTAGCCAGGAAAACAGGTACAAGGATGAAAAACTTATCTGTAAGCTCAGTCAAGAGGTTTAATCAGAATGAGGAATGCTGTCATAACCTGATGGATTTTCCTGTACTTTTTAAAAAAAAACATATATTTTTAGCTGCATTCCAATTTGCTTATGCAAACAGCAGTATGCAAGTGCTCTCCACATCTTCAAAGCTCCTTAATTTTTATTGGGGTTTTCCCTCCTTCATTTAAGAAAGGACTCAAATTTTGCAATTTTATTAATAGAAAGCACTTTTACCAATTTCTATCTTTTAAACTGTCAGCAAAATGTTTGCTTTTTTAACAAAGTCACACGTTAATTAACTAAAAGTAATTACTTTTCTCTGAAACTTTCAGTATTTTAAATGTAATGTTTCTGAACAACAGTTAATTCTACCTTTTCCTCCGATCTGAAACTATTTCCTAGGAAGAAATTAGGCCACAGGCTGACCCAGGCATCATTTCTAGATAGGCTTTGTAGATGGAACTGATTGATTTTAATGCTTCTCTCTGCCTCCTGGAAACACTAAAGCGGCTACCTTCTCTCAGGATGCCTAGATTCACTACATCCAGGAACTCCTGAAAGCTCTGGAAAGCATTACTAACAGCTGACGTTTAGCATACAGAAAGCATGGATAGATTCACAACCTTTAAATCACACTTGAATATGACTCCTTAACTATATCTGTTCTTCAATTCAAAAAGAAAGCATAGCGGTTTTTTCGATTTTGTATTTTAATCTGTCTAGTCAATAAATACAGAGAAGTATCACTAAAGCATTCCTCTTCACATTTTGGATGTTGCACAAAAATTAAGTTCAATCAAGATGACGAATTTACCTGTGTTTTTAAAGCTTCTGAAAAGAGTCAGTGCACAGGACACGTGACATCCAAAACCACTGGGATATACATAATATTAAACATTCAGCTCATCAATCAATTTTCTCAATTCAGTTATTAGTTAGAAATCGATGGAAATCACATTAAAGAAGTTATTTAGTATTTTAGGAACTTTTCTTTCTGTTACCACGTGAAAAAATTCTATAGACACGTAAAACAGAAAACAGAGTCTTGAAAAAGTAATGACAACAGTTGAAGTCTTGAAAGGTGTACACTTAATTTTTTAATAAGCTGTTTCATTCATCTTTCACAAACAAATAAGAAACCTGTTCACAGATATCCATGGCACCAATACAAGAGAAAAACAATTAATATGGTGTTTGGATTTACTGATTCCCACTTGTAGCTTAATCTTCTGGCAGCATAACAAACCAAAACTTACTTTCCAAAACCAGTTTGTGTTTTATTGGTGTGTTAGTCCTCTCTTTTCACTGGTAAGAGACCTTTCAGCTTTAAGTATCGGACTGAAAAGTTTTCTCTGAAGCTTTCAGCAAGGCTTTCGACACAGTCTCCCATGATATCCTCCTAGGGAAGCTCAGGAAGTGTGGGCTGGATGAGTGGTCGGTGAAGTGGATAGAGAACTGGCTGAATGGCAGAACTCAGAGGGTTGTCATCAGCGGCGCTGAGTCTAGTTGGAGGCTGGTGACAAGTGGTGTCCCCCAGGGGTCAGTACTGGGCCCAGTCTTGTTTAACTTCTTCATCAACGACCTGGATGAAGAGTTAGAATGTACCCTCAGCAAGTTTGCTGACGACACCAAACTGGGAGGTGTGGTAGATACACCAGAAGGCTGTGCTGCCATTCAGCGTGACCTGGATAGGCTGGAAAGCTGGGCAGAGAGGAACCTGATGAGGTTCAACAAGGGCAAGTGCAGGGTCCTGCACCTGGGGAGGAACAACCTCATGCACCAGTACAGGCTTGGGGTGGACCTGCTGGAGAGCAGAGAGGGACCTGGGTGTCCTGGTGGACGACAGGTTAACCATGAGCCAGCAGTGTGCCCTGGCTGCCAAGAAAGCCAATGGGATCCTGGGGTGCATCAAGAAGAGTGTGGCCAGCAGGACAAGGGAGGTTCTCCTTCCCCTCTACACTACCCTGGTGAGGCCTCATCTGGAGTACTGTGTCCAGTTCTGGGCTCCCCAGTTCAAGAAGGATGAAGAGCTACTGGAGAGAGTCCAGCGGAGGGCTACAAGGATGGTGAGGGGACTGGAACATCTCCACTACGAGGAGAGGTTGAGGGAACTGGGCTTGTTCAGCCTGAAGAAGAGAAGGCTGCGAGGGGACCTTATAAATGCCTACAAATATCTGAAGGGTGGGTGTCAGGAGGATGGGGCCAAGCTCTTTTCAGTGGTGCCCAGTGACAGGACAAGGGGCAATGGGCACAAACTGAGGCACAGGAAGTTCCGTCTGAACATGAGGAAGAACTTCTTCCCTCTGAGGGTGACGGAGCACTGGAACAGGCTGCCCAGGGAGGTTGTGGAGTCTCTTTTTTTTTTTTTTTTTTTTTTTGAATGCCACTGGACAGCAGATCAAATGTACCAACAGCTTGTGGAAGCATCATCGCGTCATGTGTAATCAATTCCCCCCCCCCCTTTTTTTTTCCTTAAAGTGAATGTCAATTCATTAAAGATGATTTGTAATAAAATTTCACTACTCTCTGAAAATCAGATTCTCGTAAAGGCTTGTATTTGGACATCGTCTACGCCTGGCCTTCAAAAGCAGGTACAGTCATGATTCATACTGGTTTCAAGGAGTTTTTCTGGCAATCCAGATGTTCTAAGAAGGACTTATCAATAGATTCACCAAGGAAATCTAAATAAAAATCCAAATATTGCATCTTTCAGCAGAGTGATGTGTAACCTGTAAAAGCTGGAAGCACACATAGAAGAGAGGAAAGGAGGTTTCTCCATGAAGCACTGTGGGCCCTCTGAATTAATCAGAGCCATAGGTACTTTCCTAGAGATAAGAACCCGAGTGTTTTTGTTCAGAATAAATCACTGCGACAACAGGCAGAGGGAGCTGTCTTTCCTTCCAGAAGACAACTAGTGCAAGGCAGCACTGTTTTTCTCTTTTAGCCAGTAATTCAGGACAGAAGGAGCATGAGTTCAATCTCCTCTGATCTCTCCAGAGAGCTGCTTGCCAGCTTACTGTGATTATTTTCAGTCCCCCTTTTCAGAGTCATTCCACTTTCTGTGGAGCAATTAAATGTACGCTAAGTTGGAGTGATACCAAGCAAGTCTCTCTAGCCTCGTGTTTAGGGCAAATTCCTTGGAGGAAGGACCTGTACTGCAATACGTGTTCCAATGGATGTTCATGCATTTTAAACCCTGGACTTCACTCTTCATGGCTATGTCCAATCTTCTACATTATAATACCACAGCAAATCATGGTAACTATTTTCTTTCTTTGGCAAACTAGTATTTATTGTTTTCATTTAAGAAGTGCTACTTCGGCTGAAGGAATATAAAGCACCTTCACAGAGCCTGCAAATAAGGTGTCAGGGCACTTTATTGGGAAGCAGTACAGAATCACAGAATGGTTGAGGTTGGAATGGACATCTGGAGGTCATCCCGTCCAACTCCCTACACAAGCAGGTTCGTCTAGAGCTGGCTGCCCAGCACCCTATCCAAACAGCTTTTGGGTATCTCCAAGGATGAAGACTCTATAATATCCCTGGGCAACCTGTGCCAGTGCTTGGTCACCCTCACGGTAAAAAAGTGTTTCAGTCTGTGCCCATTGCCTCTGGTCCTGTCACTGGGCACCACTGAAAGGAGCCTGGCTCCATCCTCTCTGTAGACTGCCTTCAGATATTTATATACATTGATGACATCCCCCATGAGCTTCCTCTTCTCTAGGCTAAACAGTCCCAACTCTATATACACATATAAGGTTTCAAATCTTCTTAAGGAGAAAAGATTGTTCTCCACACCTGTGTTCTTGTACCCTAGAGTGAGTATTTTAAGCTCTGAAATCATTAAATAAAGAAAGGTCATCTTCTGTGGTGAACAATCTCTTCAAGCACTGCTTAAAAACACGGCTTAGATGACTGAGTAGGTAAAGCAGGCACAAACTGACTTGGGTTCAACACTGTCAAATCTGAGGTGAATCTTTGGCAAATGTGAATTTTAGGTGCCATGAGGGTTAAGTGGCATCTGAAAATAGGATTTTCAATGTGTGTATTTCAGGCGTTAAGTGTCTGGAAGGCCCCCCCATCACACTACAATTTTCAAATACTAACCCTCCCAGTTCTTCAAAAGATGCTAAGATCATTACAGATCCAGCTCCTTTAAGAACAGACGTGGTCATGGCACACGATGTGTGTGCGCATGCAAGCCACTCTACACTGACAAAAAAATTCCATATGCAATCTGGATACCATTACTTTGTGCATGTCATCTCTTATACACAAGATAGATGTACAAGTTTGCATGGGCTTAATGAGAAATTACTAGCAAAATTCTACTCTCCTGTACATCTTTATAAAGTGAGTACATTTCTGTTTGATGTAATCATGGAAATTTTATCCAAATTTAGAAAACTGGGCTTCAGATG